GTGCTAGGACGGGGCGCCTGCGTGCAAGGACGGGGCGCCTGCGTGCTAGGACAGGGCACCTGCGTGCAAGGACGGGGCGCCTGCGTGCTAGGACGGGAGCCCCAACAGACCCCGTCTCCCCTCCCCAGCATACTGAAAACCAAAGGCTCCAACAGCTGTCCTTCCCCACGTGCCCACTGTCTGCACAGAGACCCAGGAGGCCCCCATCTAGGCTGCTGTCCCCCCTGAAGCCGTCCCAGGGGCTCTGCACCTTCCCGCCCGATCTGGGACCTGCCGAAGTCCCCGAGGAGAGGCCGTGGCCCTGGCCCGCCCAGTGGGTCTCGGTGCTGCGATCTGCACACATGCACCTGACAGCTGATATTTTATCCCACTTTCCCAGCAGTTCTTCGCAGGAGCACTGATCTGCCAGAGACGCTGGGTTTTTCATCTGTCCACTGGGTTTTAAATTACAATCACTCTATTTTTCATTTGTGGATGTTCTATTTGGTTCCACCTGACATTGGTCTGTTTTTCTCACAGCATATTGTTCTTTTTTTTTTTTTTTTTAAAGATTTTATTTATTTATTCATGAGACAGAAGGAGAGAGAGAGAGGGAGAGAGAGAGAGAGAGAGAAGCAGAGGGAGAAGCAGGCTCCCAAGGAGCAGGGAGCCCGATGTGGGACTCGATCCCAAGACCCTGGGATCACGACCTGAGCCGAAGGCAGACGCTTAACCATCTGAGCCACCCAGGCGCCCTGTTCTTTTTTGTTTTTAACTTAAAAAATTTTTAAAGTAATCTCAACACCCAATGTGGGGCTCGAACTCATGATCCCAGGATCAGGAGTTGCACACTCCCCTGAGCCAGCCAGGCGCCCCCAGTGTCTTGTTCTTTCCCCCCTTCCTACGTCTTCTGTCTTACGTTCTCCAACCGTTCCTTACCTGAGGCCTCAGCAGCGCCACCCTGATTTTCTGTGTACTAGTGGGCTCTGGCCTTGGGGTTGTATGTGGCATACGTTAGTCACCTCCAGCAGATCCTGCTGTGCAGGGGGCCCTGTGTGCCCTGGGCCCTGGGGGTTCCTTCCAGAGTGAGGGTTTGGGGTCTGCCTCTGTCACACGCTCCAGGGCGTCACTGGCCCAGGATCAATTTTATGCTACTTTTTAGACAAACCCTCAGCATATGGAACCCACACCTGCTGTTGTCAGACCTGTGGTCACGGCTTCGCAAGTGAGCCTCCGTCCTCTCTCCTAGGATCACAGACTTAGTCAGACCTGGCTTCTCCTGTGGCAGTCAGGCAAATTCTCCAACTCCAAGTTCCTGCTTTAGGCCGAGTCCCAGGGACATCAGACCCGAGTCCCCACCCAGCCTCAGACGGGCTGAGCACTCAGATTTCCTGTCCCCTCAGTTTCTGACACCTGGGGGTTTCCTCTTGTCAGCACACATCCAGAAGGACGTCCATCATACTTCATCCCTAACTCCTGGGACTTGCAGCAGGAGGCATCCAGGGGCTAAGTTGGCTGCACCACCAGCTGGGGCTTGGCAGCTCCTCTCCTGTACCCTGGCACCCCCAGCAGGACCTCCCATAGGAGCATAGGCTGCCCACCCCACTGGTCTCCTGCTCATCCGCAGGCAAGTGCTCAAAGGGTCCTCAAACTTAAGACTTTGACTTTCCCCACATCAGAAGGCTGGCTCCTGTCCTGCCCCCAGGCACAGGTGGCACCAAGACTTGGCCATCCTTCCCCAACCTTGCCTTGGCCCACGGTGTTCCTCCCTCTGTCCACCATGAGCTCAGCATCACAGGCCCCAGCGAGCACCTGCGTCTCGCCCAGGCTGCCCACATGCATCCCAACCGTGGATGTACCGGAGCGGCCTCCCCAAAATGCACTGCAGATCACAACGGGGTGTGCCTGGCCCTTCCATGGGCTCCCACTGCCCCCACATGAGGATAAGCTCTTCTCGTTCAGGGCTCTGCTAAAATGCCCCTGCTCAGCCTCCTCTTCCCCAGCCCAGTCCCACTGCTCTGTTCGGGGTGATGAGATGCTCATGCAGCGAGGACCAGCCAGGCCAGAGGGGACGTGGAGAGTCTGTGTTCCACACCCCCAACCTATGGCACAGGGTCCCTAAGAACAGAGAGAGCATCCCCACCCCAAGGGTCCCCAGGCCCCAGATCCCGGCTCCTTGCCTCTTCCTGCCTCTGTGGGCTCTGCCTACTCAGGAAAGCCTCCCCGTCAGGGCCAAATCCTAAGTTCAAGGCCCCCAGCACCACCAGGTCCTGCTCCTCAGAGACCCCGTCAGGGAGGGTCACAGGTGCCCGGAAGCCACTGCTGAGATTCCAAAGCTGAACTGTTTGCAGGGCAAGGGGCTGACATTCCAGAAGCACCCACAGGACCAACAAATACAGCGAAGAACATGCTGGTGGGTAACTGACCCCTCGCAGGCTAAGCATCCCTTCCACTGGGCTTCCATCTGAGAAACTCACAACCTTCTAGGCCGCCCTCACTCTCCTTGTCCTTAAAGTCCATGTCATGCTCCCCCCACCGAGAAGCCCCAGGACCAGGTGCTTCGAGGGCCAGATACTCCCTGCTCCCCATCTGCTTCTGGTCAGAGATTCAAGAAACCAGAAACCACCATTCGATGGCACATATATTCCCTTTGTATAAAGACCTTTGACAAGAAGTTGGTTTTCAATAAAGGAGGGCCCATGCACATGGCTCCACACAGCTATGGTCCTGCTCTCATGCCTGAACCCCAGTGAACGCACCACCTCTGCTAACAAACACACACTGTGCCACTAGGAATGTTCTGTGAGCGTCTTTTCATGTGTTTCTGTCGGATCTGCGCTCGGAAGTGACTGCTTGGCCAGGGGCGTCCACGCACACTGCCGACCTGCACTTGACTACTCGCCCTCGAGCTCTGTGTCCCCATGTCCGGCTGTTCTGCTCCTATAGGGTCACATGGGGAAGCACTCCGACCTGAGCAGAGGTCCTCGATGCTGGTTGCACGCTCACACGCCCAGAGCTCAAACAAGCCGACAGAAAGGGGCCCAGCTCTGCATAGACCAGTGAGTTCAGAGAATTGTGGGTGCAACCCAAGCACCAGAATGATTTTTAGCTCCTTGGCTGATTCTCACGCGTCAAGCAGAGAGCTACCGTGGGGCGGGGGGGGAGCGCACTCCCTCCAAGGAGCCCACGGTTCTGTCACTGACGGTCCCAGGCTGAAAACATCCAGTAGCACACATATAGACCTAATCGGTGTCTCTGCAAGTGACAAGAAACAATAAAAGACCCCCAGGGCGTGTGGCTGAGGCTGGCTGCAGCGACAGGTGGTCCTGGGAGGACCCGTGTGTGATGCTCATAAAAATCTCCAGAAGATGGGGGGGGGTTAACGTAGCATTTTTTAAAAAAGACTTATTCATTTATTTGAGAGCAAGAGTGCGCAAGCACAAGGTGGGGGAGTGGCAGCGGGAGAGGGAGAAGCAGACTCCCTGAAGAGCTCAGAGCCCAGTGCAGGACTCCATCCCAAGACCTCGAGGTTATGACCTGAGCTGAAATCAAGAGTTGGACGCTTAACTGACTGAGCCACCCAGGCACTCCTAGCATTTCTGTCAGTAGCAAAACACAACTTAGGGGCGCCTGGGTGGCTCAGTTGTTAAGGGTCTGCCTTCGGCTCAGGTCATGGTCCCAGGGTCCTGGGATCGAGCCCTACATTGGGATCCCTGCTCGGCAGGAAGCCTGTTTCTCCCTCTCCCACTCCCCCTGCTTGTGCTCTCTCTCTCTCTCTGTTAAATAAATGAAGAAAATCTTAAAAAAAAAAAAAAAAAAAAACACAACCTAAATGCCTACTGAAGGAGAACAGATCATAGCACATCATGAGGCCAAGGCCTACAGCAGTGGGATGCAGGGCCGCTGCCCAAGAGCCAATGGGAAATATTAAAACCGCTGGCGGTCTGAAATGACAAGACCAGGAAGTGGAAGGAAATACACAACATGTTCCCCACAAGGCTGTTAAACATACCAAAACACCCAACATTGTTTCGAAACAAAAATATAAAAAGTTCTGAAAAAGAGTGGGGAGCAGGGAACTCAGGCCAGAGTTCAAAGGGTGGGCTACTTGGTAGGGACGGGGCCCAGGGGAAAAACAAAAGGTGTTGCAAAGTGCATGCGTGTGTGTAGGGAGGCATCGTGCTATTTTCTAAACTGTTGACATGTGGAGAAGCATCAGGTGCACCGGGAAGCAGTTCTCCCAGACCTCGGCTGACATTCCCAAGCCCCTGCATCTACTCAGATGATGCTTGTTTAGGCCAGAGCCCATTTGGTTAAAGCCAAATCTTCCTTCCAATGATGGATTCAGATTTCAAGCTGGCGGGAAGAAGGGCAGGCCTGGCAGCACCTTCTAGCAGACCCAACTTGCCTGCCCTTCCCTAGCTCCCTGCAGCCTGCTGTCCAGTCATTTGGACCAGACTTCAGAGTGTGAGGGCCTCTCCTGGTAACCGGGGGTTGCTTCCCTCACCATCTGGCCCTGGGTGACCAGGAGCTTTCTCTTTCTGCGCGGGGGGCGCTGCACTTTTCCTCCTTCCACCCACACGGAGGCAGCCACCAGGCTTCCGGGGTGCAGCAGGTGCTGGGGACCCAGAGGCCCAGTCACGCCGACCAGCAGGCAACACACCAGTGCTCCCATCGCCCATGCCCCCAACAGGGCCCAGAATCCCAGGGCAGATGCTCAGGCCACCAAGACACGCTCACCTGCTAGCACACTCTTTTTGTGACCATCAACATCTCCACAGACAGCCCACCCAGCTCGGTGATGAATCAATGTGACAACCGGGCCCAGGGCCTCATGTCCAGCAGGGTGACTGAGGGGCCGGAGTCTTCCACGTGCGCATGGTTCCCACACCAAGTCCAGATATGAAAATCAGGTCTGGAGCAGTCCAAGGCATACCAGACACCGGCTCTGCCTCTGTCCTTCACATCAAGACACTAATCACACCGGGATGCCCGGCTGCTTGCTTGCTTTTGTCTGGTGAGACAGAAACCCACGGAGGTCGGGGAGAGAAGAAAGCAGGAATGTCAAGGGGCAGGGCGCCTGGGTGGCTCAGTTGGTGAAGCGTCTGCCTTCGGCTCAGGTCATGGTCCCAGGGTCCTGGGATCCAGCCCCGCATCGGGCTCCCTGCTCGGCGGGAAGCCTGCTTCTCCCTCTCCCACTCCCCCTGCTTGTGTTCCCTCTCTCGCTGTGTCTCTCTCTGTCAAATAAATAAATAAAATCTTAAAAAAAAAGAATGTCAAGGGGCTTGGCCAGGAGAGTGACCGCACTCAGACCCCTCCCGGGTTCCAGGGGCCCAGGGTGGGGGACTGAAATAGGCCTCGGCCTGCAGGGAATGTGGGGACTGAGGATCACAGAGCGGCCAGGCGGCTGCACCCCCCCAGGCGGGAGACCAGATGGCTCTTCTCTGGAGAATTCAACAGGCAAAGGTCAGAGCTTGAGTATGGAAATAAGGGCCCCAAGGAGAGGCTTGGACAGAGAATTAAGATGGGAGAAAAGTAAGACGAGAAATTAGAGGAAGGGGCTGGAAGAAGTGCACAGCAGGAGGCAGCAGGTCCCAGGAAGGGGGGGACCAGAGAGCTGAAGCACCCGGCCACAAGGAGATGCCACCAGACAAGGACCCTTGGAAATCAAGAGCTGGACAGCAGAAGCAAAATCTCACCAGAGGCTCCCAGGAAGCTCTAACTCAGGACAGGACCCCGCAAAAAGCAGCCGGGGGTGCTTGAGGCGGGTGGGCCATGAACCTGGACCAGCTATCTGGGTCGGGCTCCCAGCCACACCCACAGCCACTGGTGCCAGAAGCAATGGCTCTGGAGAAAATCTTGCATAATTCAGGCCAGAAGATCTTTGCAGCTGAAGATCAATGGATGTGGGTCAAAGATCAAAGATCATCCGAGGAGAGGGGTGGCCGATGGGGAAGGAGCAGCTGCCTGGCAGCTCCAGGGAGGGACAGAGCCCAAGTGTGGCAGGTTGATAGGACAGTCATGCAGGTGAAGAAGCCCAAGACACCATCAGGGATAAATGTCCAGAGATGAGTCACCTGATTGCTGAGCTGAAACAAGGATGTGACTGCATCCAAACCGCTTGCCTACAGGTGCCAACTCATCACAAAGAGGAGGCGTGACTTTACCCGGAGACACTGGCGGCCATCACCCCAACCCAGCGACCAAAGTTGAAAACACTACAGACAGAGAGACGTCCTGTTTGCCCTGATCCCATGTGCTAAAAACATGGCACTGCTGTGGATTTCATGCCATGGACACGTGACTGCAAATCTAGTCGAAAGAACATGTCAGACAAACCCAAAAGTACGCAGGTCATAAAAGTCAAGGACTGGCGAAGACCACGGGGACACGGCCACTGAAGGCAGTGTGGGGTCGAACCCAGACCGGCGGAGTGCACCACGGAAGACATCAGCGGAGGGAGCTGGGGGAAGGGCATACAGGTATAGTTGTTTCTTCTGTCGGTCTACAAGTTCCTCAAAATGAAAAGTTTGGAAAATTTGAAACACAAAACAACTCAATCGATGGGTTACACAGAAATGACAGGGCTGATAAAAGTTACTGCATTCGAAAAAAACATCTGAGGAAATTATCTGGAATGCAGCAAAGAGATGTGAAATCAGTAATCCAGGTATGGAGAAAATAAGGAAAGTTCCAGCAGAGAAAAACAGGAAAGAATCGTGATTTAAAGAGATAAAGCAGGAGCACGGGGCTGGCTTAGATGGGGAACATGAAGCTCTTGGTCTTGGGGTCATGGGTTTGAGCCCCACTCTGGGTGACTAAAAATAAATAAATGTAGAGAAGACTAAAAATAAATAAATAAATAAACAAATAAATAAATAAAATCACACTGAGCAACAAGAGATGCTGGCCGATAAGCCCAAGACCAAGCAATCAAGGAGACTGTTTGGTGGTGGGGGAGGAGGGAACCCAGAGAGAGGGAAACAGAGCGACAACAGTTCTCAAATGCACCTGTTCAGACACTTATGACTTCTGGAATTATATTAATGTTCCACATGCTTATAAAACAAAAATAACCAAATCAATATAATCTCTAAAGTGCGATACAAATGGAAAGAGGTGAACCAAACCACAAATAAATAACGTAGTCACGCTGAAGAGAGGAGACAACCCATCCACATACCTTCTGAACACAGTTTGCAAAATATATGTGCTCAGATTAAAAACAAATAGAACCTCAACACTGAACTCTAAATGGTGGGCTTTTTTATTGACTCATGTGTCAGGATTGAGCAGTGACTATTCTGTGGCCACTGGGAGTGAGACCGCAGTGTGCCTCTGGAGACAGCACAGATGCAGAGAAGGAGGGTGGAGTGGACTGTGCTGTTGCGATGAGCGGAGGAATCAGGCATCAGCACTCGTAGGTGTGGACAGACGGAGGCACACACATCACACCTGCCCACAGTACACTCATCTCTGTATCTGCTTCATAATCTGGCCACTGAGGGCCCATCCGCAGTGAGCACCCTGTCCTGGTCTTTGTTTCTAAATCTCATTCTCCACTGAAATGAACCAGCCTCCTCGGAGAAATGGCTGATTTCAGGGCCGGGGCATTAGTTGGGCCAAAAGAAAGGGAAGTGCTCAAACACTGACAGGACAGGTCAAAGGACACAGAAGCACACGAGGGAACACCCTCTGGAGATATCTAGGGGCAGTGTGAGAAAGTGAGTAAGGATAGCACACGATCAGAACTCAATGAACAAAATAAGTACCCAAACATCCACAGTGATAAATGGGGAAGAGAAGAAAGCTCTTGCTTACACTAAAAAGTCAACGGACTGATGTCAAAGGGAGGGTAGAATTAGAAAAATCACCATTTGGCCACCTTCCCCATGATCCCACGAACCACTGCATCCTAGAGACCTTCCCCTAGAGAAAGTCTTGCCCGTGTGCACCAGAAGACACACGTAAGAATGTCCACAGCAGAAACCCAGCTGTCTGTCCGTGGGAGAACCAACACATCAGGCAGGAATGTTCACATGATGCAACATCGAGCAGTAAAAACGGGGAACATACAGCAATACACAAAAGGAGGTGAGTGACACGAAGGTCTTCTCAACATGGATGAAATAAAATCATGTTTATCATCTGTCGTGAGCCTGGAGTTTAAATCTGAACAGATCCCACTCCAGCCAGGATGCAGTGAAGACCCTGAGCGGCGCTGCTGGGCATGACACACGAAAGCCGCTGGTCACTTGGTCCTGAGCTCAGAAGGTCCCACTCACCAAAGTCCCGGTGGGGTCACAGATGCCTTCCTGGACTCCAGCTCACGTGTCTCCACGGCCTGTTCTTTCATAGACCACGTGATTCAAGGAGCTTTCAGAGGGAAGCAATTCTTGTCCTGCAAAAACTAAAAGTCAGCAACCTTAATCTGACAAGAATTGGCTTTAAGAGCCAACAGTAGTTTGGAAACAATGTGGAGCACTGGCACCCCCAGGTCACTGGGGATAAAGGTCTGAATTATCTCCCTCTCAGATTATATAGCACAAAGAACAAGAACTAAACCATAACCCTTTCTGACCAGCATGGAGTAGGTCAGGGAGCAGCTCTTGACTTCTCTCCTGCCCAGAGCTGTCCTCAGAATGTGCACCTGCAGGACTAAAAGGAAACCAGGTCTACTGAGATGTGGTAACACCTCAAGAAACAAACATGGGACATCTGGACTTGGTTTGAGCGCCCCACTACATAACATGTCCTGAACAGGGGTCAGGACTCTGCTCAACTCTGCAGTGAGGGGCTCAGGGCCAGCCAGAAAGGTTCCCTGGGCTCCAAAATGGAGACGAAGCCATGGGTGCTGCTCCTGCCACCATGAAGAAAAGCTCAGCAGGAGGTTGATGAAAAAAAAGATGTCGATGTTTCCCCAGCCAATTTTGCAGAGTCCTAAATTCCAAGGCTCACAGCCTGAGGTTAAGAATCCCTGTTCTAGAACAAACAATGCAAGATACTCTCAAACACTGGGTAAGGAACTCTAGATTGGTTCAAATTGTCAACAGGGCATTTTAGGAGATGTACTGGAAGTCTACAAGTTTTACACAGTATAATTAAAAATTCCACCTCTGGGAATCTATCCTAAAGAAACAATTTAACAAAGGTCTTGCTGGACCTCTGTACATACCAGCACAGACCAGCAGCTTTGTTTTTAAGACGGAGAAACTGGACACTGTCCGAGTATCCGATAGGGAGTATGTGTGTAATAAAGGCTGGCCCATCACCAAAGTGACACAATGTAGCCCAACAAGTTTTGACAAAAAAATATTTGTCATAGATTAAGTGAGAGCAGAGTTATAAGATGTGCTCTGACTTAACATGCACAAACGATCCCGAGGAGCCTATCTATGCCAGGTTAGGGCTGCCCGCAAATCTGGGAGGCGGAGTCCCACGTTCATTAAAATCTTGGTTTGTTTCTCTCCTGTTTCTAATTTGTTTACATTGAAAGAGGATTTCTTTCATCTAAAATCCTTTCTATTCCGGCTTTTAATGACCCTTTCCATTCTGTTTAATACGCTTTCATTCTGCTTTGAAATGTTCCTCGCAAGTTCAAATACTTTTGGTAAAGTACATCCCACTCCATTAAAAAACACCCAAACTTTAAAAAAAAACCACTGAACAAAGAATCCACCTCTAAACAGGCTTGCCCCCCTCCCCCCTTTTACGGCAGCGGTGGGCAATGCGTCAAAGGCTGAAGCAGGATGTGACTGCAACGGAATTAGCTGGACAAGGCCCAGCAAACCCAGTAGAAGTCACCTGAGGACCGGAATGAAGGAAGCTCTGAGCCCCAACTCGCAAACAGTGTGCTAAAACCAATACTCGGCAGGAGCTCAGCCGCTACACAATGGACGGCTTTCCAAAATCCTAGGCAGGAAAGACATCAATTGCAATACATTCCCGAGCGACCGTGCCTTTAGGCCCCAGGGCGGATGCAGCGTCGGTTACCTGGTTCCGCTCCAGGGTCGTGCCCGCCTCGGGGGCGCCTGGGTCCAGGGGCTTACAGCGCGAGAAGCCCCGGGGACCGAGAACACAGCCCGCGCCCCCAGTGCTGACCCCACCTCCCCCGCTGGGCCCCGGCAGCCAGGGAGGGCGGACACGGGCGCGCCCCACGCGGGCCGCGCCTTCAGACCAGAGAGGCGGGGGCTAAAAGTGGGAGGAGCAGGCGCGTGGAAGAGGGCGTCCCCGGCGAGATGGAGAACACGGGCCAAGGCTACCCGCCGAAAGGCGAGGGGCCTCTCAGAGGAGGGGTCAGCCTGGGGACGCGGGCAGCACGGCGAGCGCAAAGGCCATGGGGGTGGACCAGGGGGCTTCTCGTAGGAGGGGGCCGGGAACAGGCCGGCCGGGCTTAGGTCCGGAGCGGGATAGGCGACCACCGGAGGCAACCTCCACCGTTTGTTTTATTCAGCGTTTTCCGGGTAAACTGGCCACCCACCCTTGGACTCATGACCCGGACAGGTGGCATCAAGGATTCGCTCCCGATGTGAGCCGGGAAGCTAGAGGGCTGCGGGAGCCTTCCGGGGGCCAAAGCGGCCTCCCCGCGCCTCGGGGCTAGGCGCCCGCGGCCCTGCTCTACAGGGGGCCCGGCCCGGGGCTCGCCCGCGGCCCCTTCCCCCACGCCGCGGCCCCTCCACCCACCGGTCGCAGCAGGGCCGCGGGACGACAGCCAGCGCGGGGTCTCCGTGCGCATCCGGCGGGCGCGGGGGACTCCCGGGGCCTCCGCCTGCGAGCATCGCTGACTCGCGGGCCGCTCGCAGCCGCGGACTGGGCGCCCACCCAGGGGCTGGCTCTGCGCCGGCGGCAAGGGTCGCCTCAGGGCCCTCCCCAACAGCGGGGCTCGGAGCTGAGCCGCACGACTTCGGGGAGGGCCGAGGGGGAGAGCAGAGCGGGTGGGGGGCGCGGCGCCTTCCCGACACCCGGCGACCCCGCCCCACGTCGGGGCCTTAAGGGCGCGCGGCATTTAAGGTGGGCTGCGGACCGCGGGCGGGAGAGAGCGGCCTCCGGGGAAACAAGCGGGGCCGGCCGCTGCTGGCCGGGCTCCGACTCCCCGAGCGCTCTGCGCGAGGCTGCGGTGTAGGAGAGGTCGTATCGCGTGCGCCGGGAGGCCCCGAGAAGACCCTTCCGTCCCTGGCGGAGCGGAGGCCAGGCGAGCAGCGCCTCACCGTGGGGCGGCCATCGTCCCTCCGCCCCGCTCTGCGCGACCGCCGGGCCGGGGGGCGGGCCGAGCCTCGGGCGGAAGTGCTCCCGGAAGCGACGCGCCGGAAGTGACGACGCGGGAGCCGACGGCGGTCCTGCGGCCCCGCTCCTCGGAGTCCTGGGCGCCAGGGCTTCCCTGCTGCCGGAAATGGGAGCGGGCCTGCGGCTTGGCGGCGGTGCCCCCGGGCGGTCCCACCGCGGCCCAGATGGGGGCCGGTGCCGGGGGCCGCGTCGAC